TTGATTGATGTGTCATGGTTGTTTCGCGAAAGGTGGGCGGACCACGTCCAGAGTTAGGGAAGGGAGAGAAGGGGGGGAGGGGGGGGGGGGGGGGGGGGTTGTTAATTGGGGACCTGGGGACGTGGTCGCCGGCGGCGCTCTAGATGACTCAGAATTGAATTAGCGTGCCCAAAGAACGACTCAAGAATCGACGTTGATTAGGTCACGTGAGCATCCCTCACAAAGAGAATGCCTTGACTCAGTCTGCTCGTTGCCCACGTCCGTGATAGGAGCAGGCGCGAAGCCGAGGCGACCCTCATCTTTCGGCCGAATAGCGAAGAGCCTAACACGTGTCACCCTCTCAAATTGATGCATTTCTATGGAAAGACTGTATCTCAATGAAAGTTTCTTGTGCAATTCTCCATGAACATCGCCAGGAAGGCTACTCCAAGACGCGAGAATTAAGCCACCGGATTTACCCCGCAGTTTTGGGGCAAGACAGTTGCGGTTATGTTGCGAGAGGAAAACTTATGTAACATGACAACGAGAGCTATACAGTTGACTAGGGAAGAAAAATCAAGTACGCGTATATCTTACATCCTAAGAGAGAGATATCTATTGAAAGTACCTTTCTGGTCTAGACAAGGTACGAGAAAGAAACTTCAACTTGGACAGCGGTGTTGGACGGCTGACAGGACAGAAAGAGGTGAGTTGTTTGGTGGCGAAGTCATGGCTATGATGCGAGCCTCGCAGCATGCATTTTTTTAGGGAACAATCCAAAAAAAAAATTAAGGTATTAAAGTCGTGAACCGCACGATCTAATGAAAGGTCGGGTTCGCTACACGTAGCGGACTTGCGCTGCGATTTCCTCTATGGTGCCACATACAACATCTATCTCAGAATGCTACCCGTCACTGACTGGTGCACCGAAACGCGCTCACACTTCGCGTCGCAATGGCATTCGACCACCTCTGTGACGTTTACGACTACTACACACAAGCGGAGTCACATGTCTGGTTCCGACTCGAGGCGAGGCGAATACTAAGATGCCGGCACATCGAGCTCGATCAATTTGACTTGTCGAGCAAGTAGGACAAAGTGGTGAGGACTACAGGCGTTATGATCGATCGCGAAGCAACAAGGGAGACAACCAACCGCGAAGCAACAGGCAAGGTAGAGATCACGAAAAGGTACCAAAATAAGTTATCGTGATCCATGCTTGCCCTCAGCAACGTTCTAAATGGTGTTCATAGCGCTGATCACGAGAGGTTGCACATAATAGCGAGCTCTAGGACAGCGTCCTATCTGCCAGAGCTCTCCCTTGCTTAAGCTTTAGATTGAGTTGAATTTGCATCATCGTACATTACGTGCCACAATCAACAAAGGCTCGAGGAAAGGGGAACTTGCTCTTTTTCTCTCACTCCACTTAGGCTGACGAGCTTGCCCAGTTTGTCATGAAGATGATAAGTTAGTGTCTGAGGATTTACTATCGAAGTGTCTGTGTCTACGTCACAGAACTTCACTCCATGAAAGTCTTGCGCCCGGCTGTCCGCAACGACTTCTCCGGCTTAGATGATCATTGGGCTGCCATGGCGTAGGAACGACCTTCTCTAAGCGACTGAGCATCATTCCAGCGCTTCTGAGATAAACTTGCTGATGGAAGTCATTGTGCCAGACGATAGAGAAAGCACAATAAGTAGACCATCCACAAAAATGTACCGGTAACAAAGATTGTAACAATATTCATGTGCTGACAGACCTGGCAACTGGCAGTGGACCCCTGGCAACTAACGCGATCACCTCTTCGACACTCTGAGCTAGCTATTGAGCTTCTCCGGGGGCGGCGGCGGCGATGGACAGTCATGTGGGGGCGGGTCACTCGACGGTATCTTCTTCGAAAAGCGTGCCTGGCTCAGTGACCCTCTTCCACGAATGGCGAGGAACGACGCCGAGGAGCTCGACCATTTCCCGAACGTACGGCCTGCGCCCTCGGAACAAGACGTGTGCGGTCCAGCCCAGGCGAGCACCAAAGGAGTCATCGCGGCTCAGCTTGGACTCGACCGAGGCTCGCTCTTCGGTCGTAACCCAGCCGTCTCCCACTTTGCCACGGCTTGAGGCAACCTTGGACCGCAGCCGGTCACCCTCGTTGCTGGCTAGCGACTCGAGCATCTCCGAGTACTCGTTTGCCGCCCGCTGAGAGAAGCTGAGCGACTGCGACTGCGACTGTGACTGGGCGTGCGTTGTGGCCCACTTGTCGAGCTGATTGGCCAGGACGAGCATCTCCTTGACAGGTTTGGCCACCCCTAGCAGCACCTCGTTCCCGTGGCCTTGCCTTGCCTGGCTGGTTCCCTCGAACAGATGCAAGGTCAGACCTGCGCCCACGACACCGGCGCTTCTCCGCGTCTCGTATGGCCTTGTAAGGGAGCGGATCAGACCGGACAGCAAGGCCTCCTCACGCGCTGCCAACATGGCGGACGTGGAGGTAGCTTGGCCCTCCTCGAGCGGGTTGCTGAGATTGAAGGTGGGACCGCCCGCACCTATGCCGCCTCCGTAGCTCTGCGGTGTCTGCGCCATGCGCTTCGGGTGCATCGAAGAGTTGCGAGACTGGTGGATCCGAGGCTGAGACATGAGCACATCAGACTCGAGTCGAGAGACAATCTTGTCGAGGTGGTAGTCGCAGCTTGCGCCCAGCTCTGAAGCCGTCGTCGAGATAGTCTCCAGGGTGACGGCATGCATCGCTGACGAGAGCGAGTTGGCGCTTGTCTCCCGCTCTCCGATGGTGAAGGACGCGACATTCGGCAAAGGCGGTAGTGTGGTCGAGTCCCCGAGGGAGAGTGCCTCCTTCGCGTAAGCTTCGTTGGCTTTGCGACGCCGAGGCGACATGGCTTTGCCGAAGAGGGGAGTGAGAAGGTGGGCAGCCAGGGCATGGGAATAGCAGCGAGGCAGCGGAATGCCAGACTCGACGTCATGCTCGAGGCCACTACATGCTTGTCAGCCTACAGTGCAGATAGGCGGAGATCCCATACAATTCCAGGAAAAAAGAGACACTCACCAGAAGACGAATGTCTCATCTTGACACCATGTCTCGAGGTCATTGATTAGCTGGGCGCCAGCAAGAGTGTCCAATTCGACCAACGTAGAAGTGCCGCACTGCTTGCACCCTCTTCGCCAGCCAGGTTGGGCTAGGCCTCTCTGCGACCGCCTGAGCGACGCCACTGCCACGTCCTGAATGGAGGGCGAGACGATGTCGATGGGCGCCTGAAAGGAACATCCTGGTTGCGGACAGGCGATGATAAGGGCTTTTGGCAGTCGGTCATCAGAGTGAAACACGGATGCTGGTAGCGATGACGAGCAGGTAGAAAAGGCAGAGGTGGTAGAGACTGCATCTGTGGTGTAAAAGGGAGTGCCAGTCAAGCGTTCCCAGTTCGACTCCGCCACCAGTCCCTCCTCGATGCCTGTCCCATCACGCAGCCGGCAAGTTGTGGTATCGAAGTGTGTTGCGACAAGACTCAAGGGAAAGACCCAGTCGTCCAGCGCATTCATGCGGGGACCGTTCGAGAGGCTCTCTCCTGGTTCCAATGACCAGGCCACCTGTCCGATCGTAGCAGCCCAAGCGATGCAGACATCCAATGGAGGGAGGTACGAAGCCGGCAGCTCCCGCGCCGAGCTGGTGTCCTTGTCGTCAGGCGCCGGCGCCGGCACATCGGCGAAAGCACGTTCCGTCGCCTCGGGAACGATGCGGTGTACAAAGAGCTGAAGGCGGATCACGGCTTGATAAAGGTAGGCGTGCCAGATGTGGTCCTTACGTCGCGAGACGGACAGTGGGCCCTGGCGATCGATCGACGAGTGTGGTGGCGGCGCCTCTTCTACTTCATCGTACGCCGGTGGCCCTTCGTCTGGATCAAAGTCACTCCTGTCTGCATCATCTGACGACGACCGATCACGCCCATGTTGCTGCTGCTGGTGCTTGTGGTATTTATGGGTTTGACAATCCTGGCGCGGAGACAGAATGCGGCGACGGAGCTTGGCGCAGAGGAGGAGCAGGCAGGTCAATTCTGCCAGGTCCTTGGAGCCTGGCAGGGCAGCTTCCTGCAGCAGCGCACGTCCACGCTGCGCCGGCGACTGGATCTGATGCTGGAGCGACTGCTGGGCGTGGCTGAGCTTCCGGCGAAGCGAGCTGGCGGACCTCGTCATGATATGGCGACGCCAATGCTCCTCGCATGCCTCTGTTGGTTGCTTGTTATAAGGCGAGTGCGCGCTTTGCTTTTTTCTTCTCAACCCCCTGACACTCGCCCGATGCTTGCAGAAAAGTGGTCAGGTCAAGGAAAGCCGCCATTGTAAATTGTCTGCGCTAATGAGGTCAAAAGTGGCGACTGACGATCGCAGCGTCTCTGCAATTGCTCTGAGAGTACGAATGAGTTTATCGTTAATTATTCTAACCCTTTGCGTTGTACTTTCTGGATCGGGCACCTAATCCCTAGAAAGGTAAAGGCAGATAGCAGATAAGATCGCTCGCGATTTTCAGACAGTAAGAATCCAAGGTTAGAGAGGCTTGTTCTTAACCTTACGAGGAACGAGAGAGACATTTCGCCGTGTGGAAAGTAGTATATATCTTAATGGACCTTAGTGGCATTTACGGATCAAGACAAGTTGTGATCTGTATCTTGAACCAATCATCGAATGATCATTGAGGTCGATATCGACCTTTTCCGACATTTCTTCTTTTGTTGAATTATTATAAGCCTCTTGCGGTGCAGATAGATGACCAGCTCGTCACGCCATCGAAAGAAAGAATCAGACGAACGACATTTGCTCTCCCCCTTTGCAATAGTGCAGATCATCTTTTCATCTCTAATCTAAAAGAGAATGCTCTCTGAGAAGAGAATGCTCAATCTGAGGCTCATCCCACAAGGACAGGCACGAGTAGAGAAGCGGTTCGGCAAAAGAGGATCTTGCAAGAATATTTTTCTTGTTTTTAACGTGTCTTTTATGCCGAGGAGAGATATTCATCATGCGCAGAGACTCTATGGGAATACCCTCGATAGTGTTTCTGAACGCACTGCAGATGATGCCACAACAGGAGATCCCGAGAAGGCCAGAATGGACGTGGGAGCTGGAATCGCGAAGAGTCAAATCTCTTGCCGTGGTATTCAAAAAGCGACCTGTCGGGGCTGTAGAAGACGTGAACGACCCACTCTTGATCGCCCTGTGGACAGATCAGCGATGAGGACAAAGCTGGAGAAGTACATACTCACCCTCGGATAGATGCTGATCTCGTATCGGTCGAAGCACTTATGAATTCCGTCCTCAAGAAGGAGACCCATCCATGTTTCGAACAGCCACTCATCCTCGTAGCCCAGCAGCTCTGCATAAATCTTTGCAAGAATCGCGAGGGTGTTTCTCAGATTTCCACGAGGAGACATCACAGTGGACAAAACTCACATCGGGACGGCTGAAAGGTACGATGTGCGAGCCCGTGCACAGGTTGTAAGGCTTCTCGGTAATGAGACAGCGTCCGTCCCGTGCGATAACGCCGATTCTGAGGGATTGCTATGAGAGGTAACGGACACATGAATTTGCAAGTACATGCATATGCCTCCTTGCTCTCACCTGATTTGCAGAAGACCTCTTTGAGTCACTCATTGTGCTTCTCGAGCCCACGCTGCGCTCTCCAACCACTCTTCCTCTTTGCTTTCCGATGGGGCCTCGTCGCAAGGTGCATGGTTGCATCGGACTATCTGAGGTGACATTGTCGTCAGCGGATGGCGTCCGATTAATGACTCTCCGCTCACCTCCCCTGCGAAAAAAGTAGCGTCCGGACGTTACGTCTTGGTTAAGGTCGAGAGCATCTCTTTCGCCAAATGCACAGACAAAGCCATCCTCTTCCACACAAGCTCGAATGCAGTAGACGACGAAATCCCAATTTAAATCGCCACTGGAGGCGAGCGAGCCTGTGGGAATGGTGCATAGACGATTCTGATCGCAGTCATAGACGATTATGGCCCCCTCGTGGCGCCAAAATTGGGCAGAAAGAGGATACGCTTTACGTGCATTTGACATCGATGAGCGGGAGCAATCAAGGTCAGCGATCGGATGGCCGCGTTTGACGTCGGCAATTCGGAAGTGCTTTTTATGTGTTTTGAGACAGAAATGAGGAGTCCTCATCGAGATCGTCTCCGCCCTATACCGACCTGCCAGACGCACGTGACTTCTGATAGAAATCTATTTACCGGTACACACCGGTACCGTCCCCCTCGACCCCTCGCACGCTTTTGGCACGTGTTTTTCTATTACTCAGCATTCCACTACGCCATCCTCAACAGCATGATTTTAGGGGGCATTACAAAAGCCCTGGGCAGGCCATGACAGCCTTAAAAGAACGAGAAAAAAAGCAAAGTGGTGGTGTAGATTTCCTACGACCGGATTTCGCTGTTACGGCGTGAAATAGGTGAAATTGGGGCACTTTTGCGCTCGACGCACACTCTTTCTGGTGGTGTCGCCCGTCTTGCGACAAAATAGCACTGGTCGAGTAAGTTTCGAAACGACGGTTACGATGAACATTACTTCAACTTCCTTCTGATCTTTACTTTATTTTTTTGTCTTTTCTTGTCTATTCGATCCTCTTTCTACAGAGCTTCTGCAAGCGACACCTTCGCCCAGTGGATTGCTAAGAGCAAGATGAAAAGCATGATTGCGCTTTCGGATAGCAAGATATGATGCTCTCGAAACATACAAACCCCAACCCTAACCCTACGCGCAATCTGGACATGAGGTCGCATGTGACCAACATGACCCAGAAACTGCTTATCGACAAGTTCCTCGCCACGTTACCAACGCCCATTTACAGTACAGTCAATTTGTCTTACAACTCAGCTTTGACCCACCTGCGACACTCGAGCCTGTCCTTCAGCTGGCCATCAAGTACGACGCGAAGCATAAGGAAGTGAGCAAGCGAGGCGACGGTCCACCGGACAACAATCGTCGTCCGGAGCAACGTCCAACAAGGGTCTACCCTGGGGATCGACCTCACTATTACCTATGCGGGGTGCGGCCTGCGCCCAGGCCTGCAAATTATGCCACGGTGGCCAGGGCGTCCTCGGCGCCCCTGCCGCCTGAAGGCCAAGCCGGCCGAAGGCATGCCGGCCAATGCCAAGTGTTTCAACTGTGGTCGCACGGGTCACTATGCCCGCGACTGCAAGTAGCCTCTGCGAGACAAGGCCACGTCCCGTTAGGGCGTGCCCATCAGCAACAACACCCGCCTCAACGCCCTGTGGTACCAGCCGACTGACAATCGCGTCAAAAATCGGATGCCCGTCATTGAGATCGAACTTTTGGGCGTCAAGGCGAGGGCGCTTGTTGACACCGGTGCCGGCTGCGGGACATGGGAGAGGTCTCGTTCGAATCTGCGTTTGTGACCAGCGCAGAGCCTGACAAGCGCTTCAACGCCTTGGCCAGGCTTGGTGGTGGGACCGCAGTCTCGTTCGAGGCCTATCTCATCACATTCAGTGATCTTGCCGATTGGTTCGACGTGATTTGAGCATGGATCTACTTCGAGCAGCAAAGGCCAACTTTGACTGGGAGGCAAACACGCTTACGCTCCTCGGTTAGAAGCTGCCCTTGCTGACGACCCACCAGTTGTGGGGAACGTCGGGTGAACGTCGCCCCAAGGGATTTGTGGGTAATGTCGCCCGCTCCACGGCAAGTTAATCACCATGCTCGGCAAGCCCATTCCCTTTCAGTAGCTATGCCTTGCTCCCCCTCCTCACCTCCCCTTCAAGGATGCACGGTGGTGTCTATAACTCTTTGTTCAAACTCTCAGGACCGTTGCAATTGAAGATCATTTCTCCTTCTTCCGTCTAGTGCTTTGCTTTCATGTCGGCAAAGTTGCAATCTCTTGAGCCTTGGAAGTTCGTTCCCTTTCAGCGTCGTCCGCTGTCGATGTTTCTCCTCGCCAACGTCGTCACCACATGTCAAGAGCCTCTCCATGACCGCCAGTACGCCTTTTAGTGACCCTTACCCTGTGCGTCATGCGAATCTTACAGCCACCACAGAGCTGAGAATGAGACGGGCGGGAAGCTCAATCGGCCAATGAAGGTGTGATCTGAATCTGCGTGGCGGGAATACCAATTCGGGCGTCGTGGAACCACGTGGCGATCGGGCCCAGAAACCGACAAGCTGTCATCAGGCGTGGGATGGGCGAGCGGTCATACCGTCGAAAGTTCAACTCCACTTGCTAACCAAAGTTGAGTTTGACGCCGACGCCACTTCTCGACTCGAAAATAAGTATAAGAGATGCTGGAACCAACGATGCTGGTGCCGCCTCTGGTGAGCAAGCGGTGCAACCTTGACAAGGGCGAGGGCAGTTCGTCGAGCGTGCTCGACGCCGACGAGCGGCGGCGGGAGCACACGCGCATGGCCCAGCGACGGTATCGGATGCGCAAGCGGCAGGAGACCGACGCTGAGCGCGATCGCCTCGATGAGGATACGACGCCGCGCTGGTTTGCGCCCGACCCAGAGGCCTTTCTCGACGCGCGCAAGCACCCCCCTCCCCCCCGTGTCAGCCTGTCGGACGCCGTAGCGTCGGGCGTGCTGAACAACACGCAAATCTTCACCACGTCCGAGTCCATGTGGGCCGCATACTAAATGGTCGACTGGATTGCGTCGGCCAAGTCATCTCCATACGGTCAAGGCACGTCAGAAACGGCATCACAAACAGCCCTGCGCGACCTTATCCAGTCGAGCAGCCAAGGGGGCCGCGCCACGCTCACGACCACCCACCTGGACTTCTCCCGCGCCTACTTCGGCAACGCCGTCGCGCTGTCCTTTCCACACGTCGACATCTCCAATGCAAGGCACCCAGCCGCATCAAGCAAATTTGGCACGAGCGCACGCAGAAGAGCCGGCGTGTGCCCGAGAACATGCACCCCGTCGACGAGCAGCTCACCGTCGTCCACTCGGTCGCCCTCGACATCCTTCCCTGGCCCGCGGTGCGCAGCCGCGTGCTTCGAGCGATCAAGGCCAAGCTGCTGGGCCACGACAACATCAAGATCGACATTATGTTCGGCACCGACGCAGAGCGCATCGTCATTTCGCCCTTTCGCATCCACAATGCGCCCACCGATGACGCCTTTCGCCTCGACGACGACGCTTCCTTTGAGGCCACGATGGTTCCCGGCAATTGGGAGTGCTCAAAGACATGGCTCGAAAAGTACTGGTTCATCGTCGACGAGAGCATCGTGCAGCGGACCGACTACTGGTGGGAGAAGCAGGGCCTGGCCCCGGTCATCACCTTTGGCAACCCGGTCTGGCCCGGCTCTCACGCCCTTTTTTCCTTTCGGTCGAATTCATGAGGGTCGGTGGGGTGCTTTCCTGGGAGTATGTGCTCTTTGCAACACAATCGGTCGTCGAAGAGGGAGGGCCATTGCTTCTGTCTCTGCGGATGGCCCCGGCCTTACCAGCGTACCGGCGCCTGGAAAAGTACCGATTCGTTCGATATGATGCGCCGACGCTCCCGCCGAACCTTAGTCGAGGTCCTCGCTTTCACTACAAGCGACGAGGGCCTGATTCTGCCAGCCGTAGTTCCGATACGATGAGCCATTCGTCGCGCAGCTCCACAAATCAAAATCACTTTCGATTCCTGCTCGGCGTTCGGGATGGCTATTGCATCGTTTCGGAAAGCGCAAAGGCTGTCGCATGTCACATTCTACCGGTCAGCCGACCGGAATACTACGAAGAAGTTCTGGGTTTCGACCCAGGATATCTTTACAACGTCAGTTATGGTATCTTCCTGACACGCGATCTTCATCACGCTTTTGATAGGGGAGAATGGAGTCTGTATCCTAAGCCAGGCGACCCGACGACGTTGGTTGTCCACGTCTTTTACTGTGAAGACCCTGCGGACGAAAGCAGAGATTTCCACGGAAAGGAGATTCCGTGCTCTAGATTCCGATTTCGGAGCGTTCGGGAGCTACCAAATAGGCAACTGCTCGCTTTTCACTATCGGCAATGCCTTATTGAGCATACAAGACTTACCTCTTCTTTTGAATAATGTGAGAGGTACTTCGTTCAACGGTATTTGATCATCTCTTCTCGCTGTTCCTCGCTGCACCGCGCCCATTTTGTTGGCTGTCTGCAACGTCTTCGGTGAATAGTGTGCCCACCAATCTCATAATCTCCTTTGTGTGCTGACAATACCTCCTTCAGCGTTAGGGAAGTAGAGTTACCGGCGTTTTGGTCATTGCATCGGTCGGTTCACGGTATCGAAAAGCAAAACAGAGAATCATCTTTTCACACATATTGAGAATCTTCCTGGAAGAGCTCGTAACTTCAAAGTGTCACATCAATGTATGTGATTTCGTCGCTGCCTTGTCACAAGCTCCAGCGCGCCTGGCATGTCTGCCAGTCGGCCACGCATCACAAAATCAACGCCGAGGTCGAAGAATGAACACTCCCTTGCCGTCGAGGGCGTCTTTCTCAACATCGGCCCCTAGCACAACTCCCACCTGACTTGCAATGTTTACAACTACGGCGGTACAACGACACGCAATCTAAGTGGATAGGAGCAGTTTGATTTCTCTGCTATCGTTCCCACCGAGTGGATCAGCAAGACGGTCTGCACGTCTTCAGCCGTATTAGCCTTAGCCTTGACGAGACGCCAGATGAGCGCCTTGAATGGTATTGCAGATTCTCCGAATTGTTCGAGCATAATGGTGGTTACCTTGACCCGGGAAGGCAGTTTTTCTTCCTCCTGATCGTTCTCGGCGGAATCTCCGACAGGATTGACACTCTCGCTTCCACCTAAAGATCGAGCCTAGCGTCTCGAACGATCTTGATCGCCTGCTCGCGCAAAATCCGCTGACTCCTCCACTCGTCTCAATTGCGTTGAGTTGGGAGACTACTCAAGAAGCCGAGAACAAGAAAGTCAGACTGAAGCATCGCAATCGCTGGTCCTATATTAACGTCCTTGACTGTTGCGATGAGGTTTTCGATCGATGTGAGCATTTTCATGGGTCTTTTTATGGTGATCGAGCGCGCCAAATCGATAGTTTGACGACACTTTGCCGATGATATTAAGCGCAGGGCGGGAGGACCAGTGTAATGTGTCCATGAGGTTCTCTAAAGAGTTCTCTAAAGATTGGCTTCGTAGCAACTTCGCCAACACAGCATTAATCTAAATGAAGAGAAGACTCATAACATAAGTGTGTATCTCAGCCGTGAATCGGGAAAGATTGCCGTATTCGCTCTAGCATATCCTCGACCTTGGGACGATATGTATGACTGATCCAAAGCACGATTTGTGCGAGGATGATCTGAAGCTGAAGAAGCCCCCACTTATCTGTCGTTTGCCCGAGCCAAAGCTGCACGAGATGCTAAGAGAATGGAACGTGTTAGGTGAACAGAGCCGATTGAAGCAGGAATTCTGCCGATACTCACAATGCCACAATGATTGGCTTCCAGCCCTATTCTGAAACCGAGCAAGACCTCCCACAACGCGCCTTGGGTGCAAGCCGCGATCACAGGCAAGGGGTGCTCGAGCGTGCCGCCAACCTCTTGAAATTCTCGTTCGAGCCCTTCCAGTATCTTCAGAGCTTTTGCGACCCCGCCCGCCGCTTGATTCTCGGCAAAAAAAAGGACGCTTGAGTCAGATTTGGCCTCGAAAATGAAGCAAGGAAACGCAACATCGGGAATGCTGAGGGACGGCCACGGATGAAGGCCCTTACGAAGTCGAATTGCTTCGAGAAATTCTTCGCTCATGGGCAAAATTTTGTGTATCTGCTCCGATGTAGCATTGTTTGTTGGGTCACTCGGCTTGAGACCTATGGCAATATCTGGCTTAGGCGTAGAAAGCGGTGCACCATCGGCTGAGAATAGATCGACAGGCTCGTTCCAGTCTTCATCCTCACTGGTATGCTTTTCAGATCATGCGCTCAGCGGCCGTTCCTCCAGCAACTCACCAAACTCCGACTTCTGGCATTGTTGTTAGCGGAAGAAGCGCTCGTCGGGCAAAGTGCATCCAGCTAGACTCTGTTCTGCCTTGAAATCGCCTGACTCCTTCATGCAATGAAAGTGCGGCATCCAATGCGCCCTGACAATCGACTTTGAAGACTGCACCCTCAGGTAGTATGGCTTGCAGCGGGATTCTTCTTGAGGCAGATCCCAGGCTTGCGACCTTCATTCGTGTATCATCAGAAGGCTGATTCTGTTTTCGCGGTCCCCAAATATCCACTTACATCCGATGCTTTAATGATTTGTTCGAAGTCATTTATGGTTAACATTGTCGCAAGCGCCTCAATGTAGTCAGGCCAATCAGATCGATCGAGCTCATTGATATATATGCGGGCGCGCTTGAGATTCTTGATCCTGTAGGTTCTGCTGGCAGCTTTGCTCCGGCTGGATGATGTGCTGCTCATTGTTGATAGGTGGGATTGTTCGTGTGATACCAATGATTGGAAGGATTCTTGTCGTTTCCTGTGTTATTTCACGTGTCTAATAGTGAAAACCGCCTGATGATCACGTGGCGTCGCGGTCCCGCACACTTCGTCAACATTATGAGGTTCTGCAGCTTAGGAAATAATAAGGATCCAACTCTGACGCTCTTTTGAGTTTATAACGGCAACGCAGGGCTCCTTTTTCTCATCTGATCAAATTTGCTGCCGACACCCCCTTCCTCTGCTCTATCACTATCGCCGATCGCCTCGCTCCTCGCTCCTCGAGTACGCCTCTAAGCCGGGAGACACGGCGACTCCTCATCAATCTCTGCGCGCCGTGCCGAGAAAGAGTGCGAGGCCCAGTCCAGGCTTTGGAGGGACGACCCCTCGCAGTGTCCGGTTCGAGGGACAAGACGCTGCGCGTGTGGAACATCAAGACTGGCCAGCTCGTCCACTTGCTCTTGGGTCACCTCCACGCGGTTCGCTGCTTGGCTTCAGCTAGCGACAAGATTGTTAGCGGCAGCTACGATTCGACATGCCACATTTGGGACGACGAAACAGACGAATACCTTCGCGTGCTGTCAAGGCACAACGACCAAATTCTTGCCATCGCTTTCGACAATATTCATGTCGCCACAGGTAGCCTAGACTTAACAGTCCGCTTGTGCAATGCGGCGGATGGGCGAGACCCCTCTCCTCAAAAGCTCACGTCTCGAAAGCTGGAGTGTTTATGAGGCAGAAGGCCCTCTGAAAGACTTTTACGGGAGCAGTTTATTCTTGCCAAATGGCGACGAGAGCCAACAAAGGCGCAGGAGCTGGCGTGCCTCGCGAATCACGTTCCTCCCGGCTCTATCAGGAGGCCAAAGGCCATCGCGCCACGCTCAAGGACCGGCTTAAGAATCAAGCTCCAAAAACATGAGCCATCTGTCGTCATCTCCCGAAGTAGACTCCGCAATGCATGAGCTTCGCAACGTGTACCTGAAATTGCTCTTTTCGTGCTCCTTCACCGGCCGTGCAAAGGGCGCGGACTCGAGCCTGTGGGCCGTAACGACCTACGAGCTCATCGCCATTTGTCGAGCGCGCATCTTCGAGCTCGGCAAGCAATTTCGAGGCCTAAATGACGAAGCAAGGACAGGTGAAGGTAGCAAGGAAGAGCGAAAGAAGCAGGCAAAAGTGCAAAGCCAGGACGCTTTGGCCCTCCAGCGTCAGTGCGCGGCCTTTCGCGAATTCCTTGACCGGGAAGAGGAATGATGGAGAGACTTAGCGGGCCGCGAAGCCCATTTCTTTAATGTGCAAAAGGCAAAGCTTCGCCTCATAGCCCTCGGCATCCCATGCGAGCCCGATAATTCGGCGAGCGGCGACGCTGGAAAAGTGCAGTCAGTAGCGACGTCTGCATTGGCAACTGGCATGCATTGAATCACGCTTGCTGCAAGAGACGATCCGAAGCTCGTTGAAGCAGCCCAGATCCCCGCAAAAGAGGCTCGTCTGACTGAAATGATTCACAAAGCTTTAATTTCGTGCGGCGATTTGGCAAGATATCGCGAGCTCTATCGAGACGACCGCAAGAACCCTGACGAGAAGCCCATGGCTGCTGGACGGCATGCGCCAGCTCGGGTGGGAGGCGTCGGCGGCGGACGGAGAGGCTCTGCTGGTCGAGATTAGCGCGGTGGAGCGAATTCAACCCGGTCGAGTCGAAAATCCTCGCCCAGGCCTCGCGACCAATGAGCAAGCCCGCTTGTTGCTTCCCGACAGTGGCAGCCATTCCAACCAGCTGGCTGTCTTAGCTTTGCACAAGGACGATCTTCTCTCATCGATCAACTACTACTACCGCGCCCTTTGTGTCATATATTCTTGATAGCTGAGCTGCTTCTTCCAAATTTACTCCTGGCCATATCGATGGCCTCTTGTCACTATTGGCGAATCGTGCGCTGCAAGCCGATTCCATCGTTAGAGACATTGTGACTGCCATTGCCTCGCACTACAAGACAAGGCTCTGGAGAACACCAAAAGGCTCTTGAAATCCGCCTTAGGTCCAAAGACGCAGACACTACTCGCCTCATTGCTCAATTGAACAATGAGACTTCTGCAGCCGACGCAGAACACTAAATCCTTGTCATTGTCTTGGCTACGATCCTTGTCGTTGCCGAGGTGGGCGCGTTCAAAACACGCAAAGCCCTCGAAAGCCAGAATGGCATCCTCCCAGCACAGCAGACGAGGGAGGAAGCGCAAGCATTGCTAGAGACATTACGGCCGTTTTCCGGCGGACCCTGCCAGCGCTGAGGATCGTAAGACAAAAGGCTCAAGAGTCACCTTTGATCACATTCACCGAAGCGTAAACCAAGCTGTCAATTGCAGTCAGAATACGCCGAGGGAGACCATTCATTCCCACAACGACGTAGAGCACGATGACTGACGAAGATGAGTCGAGAGCCCGATAGATAATTGATGCTGGGGTCCCTCAATTTATTTGCCGTTTACAGCCTCGAGCTTTCAACCTATAAGCCTTGTGGAACCATGACGCAGAAGTAAGTCAAGGTCTTTAACATTTGTGGCGCAATGCGGACCGCAATTCGCTTGATAAGCTTGGGATTGCCCGCATGCATTATGGGCTAAATAAGATCAAAAGCAACAATGGCAATCTCATTGCGTGTTCCTCTATTCTCTATGTGGCTCTACTTGCGGTCCATATGTGTGTCTTCGCTCACTTCGTCAGCGAATGCGCTGGATTCTAAGATCTTCGATTGATTGATCTTCCCTTTCCACCTCCAGCGTCTGTTCCAGCCAATCTTTTCTGGTCCTGTCGGAAAGAGGCGTGAACTGCAGCCTGATGCTATCCTTGTCATCATGTCTGACCAATGTGCAAGCCAGATCAGGAAGCTCGGCGAAGACATCCAGCCAAACATTTGAAATCTTTCTCTCCAGTCCCTGGCCTTGCATCGATGTATTCACCCCAATTTGAAGGCCTACGCTGGGCTCAGCAGGGCCAAAGGCATGCTCGTTGAAAGAGGCCAGAACAGACTCAAAGCCAAAGATTGTGCGCTCAAAGACTTGCCGTTCATGACTGGCCGTATCGAACGCTCGCCAGGGTGACAGCTTTGACCCCATGTCTGAATATTTTGTCCGCTTTCGTCGAGGGTCGGCTTGTGGCTTTCGTCAGAAGCTTCGGATTGATAATGGTGTTGAACTCATGTACGGCTGGACCCATCTAATTGCGATTTTACGACAAGCACTGAGCACGACATACGAACTCTGCTGTGTGCAGAAGCTAGACGAAAGGCGATATCATTTGAGATAACCTCGTGGTAGGTGCGCGCTGGCAGTCGCCAACAAGAGTCGACCCCGTGGCTCATTAATGCATGCTCGACTTTGAAGTGAAGGACATTCATTATACCAGCTTGCAGGTTACTGCCATGGCACGTCCACCATCCTCTCAATGCGGCAACTCTCAACACCCCTGACAGTTCGATTTCTCCGACAGCAACGAAGAAGATCACAGGAGATTGATTTCAAGTCAAGGGAAAGCCTGAGCACTTCTCTCGACTGAGCAATTCAGGGATGGGGCAACATTCAGACTGGCTCGCAGGCCGGCCCAAAGACGCTCTTCTCTTTAAAAAAAAGTTTCGGGAGCAAAGATGGACCCGAACTCCCGGAGAGTTTAGGGGGTGTTGGGTTTGTGCTTCAAGCTCTTACATGGTTTTGACGTCTGTCGTTGGCTGACAGAAGATGAAGAGATGAAAGTAATCGTTGGAGAGGTACTAAGACGAGTGCGCCCTCTGCCCACGTGACGACGCGGGTTTGAAGCGTCATCGTGTTCTCTCAGAGAATGAATAAACACATCGTCTCGCTTTTGCGCCACTTGGGACCGACAAGCGGTGCCGATGGCGACATGGGATTCAGTAGTTGCCTTATGAAATGCAAGGAAAGATAAGGCCCATGTTCCTATGTTGTCCTTGGATTTGTATTGCCAAGCAGCTGCATGCTAACACTGAAGTTTGTAGTTTGACAAGGGGGTATTAGGAATTTGTCAGATACGCTCTCCAAGCGAAATTCTTTTTCATCAATTTATGAGAGGTGTTGGCATGGTAGTCTACTTAAATCTGACGAATATATTCTCCACCTACGAAGAAGGCCGAAGCAGTTGCGCTACAAGTGTGCGCCGCCGGCATGATTGCCTTTGTGCTTATACTTATGCAGGCTTCAGCCGGCCATCTTTCAGTACATCTCAAAGACGCAAGTGAGTGGACACAGCATGCAGTCACCACGTCAGTGCATGTCATGCCAATAGCACTAGTTGATCTACATGGGATCATTCCCACATCAAGTATCTACTTGCCGCACCATTGCGACACACAACAGGAGAGGCGCTCAGGCGGTGGATCGACCCCTTGATACGTACGCACGACTGTGGTAAACCCTATCGAGGTTTGTCTTGAGAATGCGAAGAATGACGTTGTGATGAAGACGTGAAGCACAGCGAAGGGAGCATCTCTCGCAAAGCTTGCAAAGCCTATGATCCCTTCTCTGTCTCCTTTTTGGATGAAGCGAGCGATCGGCTGAATTCTTGATCTTTCCTAAGACTTAGGCATCCCAATGACGGTATGGAAACTAATGACAGCCACTAAAGTGAGATGCCCGATCTTCTTACCAGCACGTGCCACGCTCTTGAAGTGGCCTCTTGCTTCGATAGACCATTTCCCTGTAAGAAGCAAATTGCGCTAAATCACTCCTAAGTCTTTGTAAACGAGCCATCGACTTATCAAAGTGCAAACGAAAAAGCTTAGGTCACTCGAAGAAAGTATTGGTGACCGAGGCGCAGCAAGTCCTGACGAAATTATTATTTGGGAGAGAATTGCCTGTGTACATGCCAGTTGAAGTAGCGTGCCGTGAACCACGCCGCTTGCTGCATTGCTAGTCACTGAGTATCTTGTTCGGCACGACGACACGGACATTCGAGAAGCGATTGCGAGTCCAGACGACTTACCAAAGCCCCGTACCTCAGCATCTGCGTTCTCGGGCTGCGCCAATTGAATCCGACTTCGACCAGTTTCGTCCAGCTTCGTGGCATGCATAAGAACAAACGAATTATTATATAGCCTGATGATGTCGCTACCGAGTCTCCCGCCTCCCCTCTTTGGCTCGTCTGCTCTTGCACGCCTCATTGCCGAATAGCTCGCAGATAGAGTAGTGGGCTTGCGTGCCTGCCGCTTCAAAAGACTCATTTCTTGCATCTTCGGTGGACGCAGGGAAGAAAGCAGAAATTGATCAAGTCTTCGTTTCATTGGCCATCCCCCCCGCCAAGCAGTGCACCCGAGCAGCCTCGACAGACACTCGATTTTCATCATAATCGACGTTCACCAGTGCAACGATCATGCAAGCTTACCGTCTTGCATAATTCGTGCTGTGTGTACGCGCTCCCTACACACACTGTGTCCATAGCTTGCCCTGTACCAGTGTAAATGACATCGAGTTTGCCATTCACGGAGGGCAAGGAGAGCATAGACCATCTGGAAACACTTGTGCAGCTCCGGTCCACTTTCACCCCGACAATTTTGCTTAGCGATACGCAATGCTCATCCTAGACAAGAAAATTTTATGATTGGCTTCATTGAAACAGAGCAGGCGGTCCAGCCCTTCATCCTCTAGACTCTGTCACATTTGTCCACAGCTGCTGAACCTACTGGCATTTGAAAGATGGATGTAAAGGCTCCAGCATTCTGACTGCCGAAGGCGGTGGGGACATCTTCAGTCATGTCGTATCGGGAATGTCCCTGCGCTTTTGCCAACGAATAGACCCTTCTCCAACCAGTGTACACTGTCGAATTTGTCGACTCTGACGTCTGGAAGTTCCCGAGCGAGAGCTAGATCTCAGCGTGTCTTCAAACCATGAACTGTTTCCTACGAACAAAAATCTGCGAAACCAGAAAATCTGCGGAAAAGATGGCGAACCTATTTAATTATCTACAGCTCTCACGACGCGAAACCCAAGTCGCCATCATTTCCAAATCAGGTTTCTCTCGGGATCGCCCCGCTTCTTTGACGTCGAAATAAACAGGGAGAATCCAACAGGATATGTTTTTTTGCTGCAAGATTGTGTGAATTGGAGGTATTACTCAGTGACCGCCAAATGTTTGCTGTTTTGCTGTAGTGTGCCCCTCTTCCATTTTTTCTCCTTCGTGTAAGAAGGCCATTCCAGTCAAGATGCCCATAACGGTAGATGCAAGCATCTCCTCTCGTCGCCACTCGGGCTGGAAGCAGCCATTAGACCAGCCGTCATGAAATTTATCCGGCGTCAGCATCTGGCAATTAGGTGTTAGTCAACTACTCTTCAAGCCAAAGCTCTCGCACCTCTCCCGCTTCATTTTGACTGATCAAAGCTAGCCAGGAAGAATTTCCGAGAATTGTCATGGACATGCCTGCTCAAGTCGACGACGATCGAATCTGCTACCCGTTCGTCATTAGAAATCTAGCAGGCCTTAGATTGTACAAAATTCTGCGATAGTATAAGCTGGGTCATGCGGATGTTTCCGATTAGGCTTTCTCGAGCAATCCGCGCTCCTTCGCCTCGTGAAAAATGGATGTGGCAGATCTCCATATTCTTCTTCTGTTCCTGATCGAGCATGTCGGCGACTGCAGGCAAGCTTTCATATGAGATAGCCATATTGATCCTTTGTCAATCTATATAGTAGGTCAGCGTCAGAACATGCGCTCGGAATATCACT